GATGTGCACACACACTTTTTCTTATGAAATATTCAACATTGGAATGTTTTTCATAAACTTTTTTCTCTCACTTGAGTTTTTTCATTTTTACTTAGTTTTGGGTAACTTGGCAGTTTAAAGACTTGACGATCTCTACTGGTTTCTAGTATGTTTTATCATAGATTTTTAAAAATTGTTTCCTAATTATGCCTAAGTCAAGTAAAATGTCTAAATCATTTCTTTGTATGAATGAGTCATTTACATAAGTAGTAGCCAGTAGAGATAAAGTTGATATGAATTTGCAAGTGAACTTTATTACTTCTAAAGAGTCTCAATTCTATACACTTTTTTTCCAATTCTGTGTTCTTCAGATTCAATACAATCTAGCTATCATTAGTGGTTCAACTGCTCATTATATTGACTTTTATAATCCCCACAAAGAAAGTTATGTTAAACTCGAAGCTTCATTAGGGTACTGAAGACCAATGTCTAGAGCTGAGGTACTTAATGCTCTAGAAGACATGATTCCTTGAGGATTGTACCAGCTGGCCTCTGTGTCTTGCATCCAAAGACAATGCTCTGCAGTTTGTCCTATTTCAGGAAATGAATTTAGTGGTGGAAATGAGTCAGCAGTAAGATTTCATGTTAATGATAAATAAACAGCAGTAGCAGGACAATTTGTTTTAAATGAATAAAAGTATGTCCACCTGGTACAAAACATCCATGAAATCATTCCAAGTATCACCAACTAAAATCAACTATTGTATCTGTGCTACTCAGAAGAAATGCATGAGGGCTGGGGAGTTAGTTCAGTGGTGCCTCATCTGCCTTGCAAGTGCAAGGTCATGAGTTTGATTTCTGGTACCAAAAAAAGAGAGAGAGAGATGCAGGAAAAACCTGGTGGCCACCAGGGATCTAAAATGTCCCTCAAAAGTGGCCCTGCCTAGTTGTCAACATAGATAGGGCAAAAAGAGGCAGCATTCAATATGGCCCTGCTCAACAGTCATGAAAGACAGGCCAAGGGTAGGAAGCCCCTGAGGTGATGCCAGCCCAGTGGACAAGCTGATGGAGAAAGCACGTTAGCTGCTGGCTAACCAGGGTTCCTCAGAGAAGGGTTACAGGAGAGAGCGGGAGATGAACAAAGAAGGTCAAGAGGGAGCATCTGAGATGACAGCTGTCCACGGGTCATCCCAAAAGACCAACAGAAGGGAACACCTGAGATGGCACTGCCCTGTTGTCACACAAGGCAACCGGAAGTAGCACACATGGGTATGTCTTCCCAGAGCAGATTTCAGAAAGGAAAAAGTAGGCATGCCCTGAGACAACACCTGTCCAGTGCTCACTAGAGAGAGGACAAAAGAGAAGCCCTGAGATGGTCCTGCTCAGTAGTCATCACAGACAAGGTGGTAGGAGTCAGCTCCTAAAATTCACCTGCCCAGTGCCACCACAGACAGGGTGACAGGAGTGAGCCCCTGAAATGCTTGTCTACTTATCTTCATGAACACTGGAACAAGAGTGAGCATCTGAGATGATACATACCCGATTATCATGTGAGGTTACAGGAGAGAGCACCTGGGAGGGCACCTGCCCACCACTCCCTACCAGCACACTCTGTCACACTTAGGTTATGATTAAAGGGCTCCATTTGCTATCACTCATTGATGGATATGAAATGAGATAAATAATTTACTTTGATGTTTAAGATGTGGCACTAGCATAAAAGATAAAATGTTTTACAACAATCTACTTAGAAATCAAATAAACCTTTAAGATGTTACCCAATTCCCTTCTCAGTTAGCTAAAGGGCCGTGTGCGTGTATATGTATGTGTGTCTGTGTGTATGCATATGTATATGTGCATATGTGAGTGGAGTGAAAAGTCTGAGGGCAGGAAGAAGATGGGACTTCTCAAAGGTCTCTAAGTTTTAAATTCCAAGTTCAAAGAGAAAAAAATAACAACTTTGACTACCATAGGGATTACTAGGAAAGTACAGATCATAATTTTTATTAAAAGTATTTTGTGATTTGCTTTGATTTTCACATCCTCACTTCTTCATAAATTAATGCCCGTGTATGAAAATAGATGGCATTTCTAAGTAATCCTTCTCATTGATTCAAGTCCCAGTGTGATGTACTAAGGACTAAATTATCTGGTAGACCCCTTCATCCTCTGAAGGCTGGCTTCACCCTGTTTTAACTACAGACTAAAATTCTACCATGGGCACCAAACTTTCTACTTGACTCCACATATTTATCAAGTTAAATGACTGGTAAGCACACCTATTCTCCTGCGGTTGCAGGTACTCACAATCTAAAAGTCACATGAATAGGCTCTGTGTTGGAAAAGCTAAAATAACATTCTTTTGAAAAGCAAATACCAGAACAACTGGGTCTTGATATGTGAGAATTATTTTCAAGGTTCATGAAACCAAAGAAAGAGAAGCAGACAGATCCAGGGTTCCACACTGCACAATTTACGAAAGGACTTACAGAAAAATTCATGGTCCTGGGTAGCAGAAAGACCAAGTGGATCCCTATAATTTGGATTAGAAGTTGGGGTCCATATACTGGTTAGAGTGAGACTTAATTCTAGCTAGAATGTCCCTGGTTTATCTTAAGTTAGTGTCAAAGAGTTAGGCACATTTTTGGCACCAAGGTCTCATTGTAAAACTCCATGTGCCTTCCTTTCTCCCTCCCTCCTTCCTTGTTCCCCATCCCATTTGAACATGGAAGGGACAAGAAAAAAAGTGAAAATAGAAGGAAAAAAATGGAAACAAAGGTTTTGTACATCAGGAGGGGAGGGGGTTGGGGGGATGGGATAAAATTGAATTTTTTAAAAAGCTCCATGTGCCACTCTGATGGTTTTGTCTATTTATGGTTTGCTGAGAAACTGTACAGGAAAACCCAGCTAAGGTTACTTTGGGGCAATCATGGGAGCTACAATTTAATATGGCTGAAGTCATGTGAAGCTGAATCCATACCCAGAGAAACTCAGCAGTTTTCTTTCATTTTTAGACTCTGAGAGCAATAAAATTACTTCTAGTCCATTTTACATTAAAATGTAAGATTGAAAAATAAGAAAAATATGACTTGTAATTTTTTAAAGAAACACACAACATAGTCTTCCAAGTGGTATACTCTGAGGTTTTATTTAGACTTTTTTTTTCAAACCATTCTTAATTGTAAGAAGTGTAATACCTTCTGAGTAATATAAATAGAATTTGATAATTTAAATAGTATCAAAGTGAGTAATAGAATCCTCAATATTCCTCAGGGCAAATTTTCATTACCTCACACCTCTTTGTGCAACAATGACTCAAATCATTCAGGTCAAAGATGACACAAATCTCATCCTTGTTGTCAAAGCAAATTGTATGTCAAAAATACATACCATGCTAGCTACTGATTAATTCCTAAGCATCTCAGCTGGGCATTGGGCTAAAGGTTAAGATATAAGATATCCATAACTCATCATCTCTATTTTGTAATTCATGCTTGAATTAGTGAGAGTATCAAAATTATTAATTTATAAACTGCTTTTAAAAGGGTGTAAACAAAGGGTTTGACCCTTGTGAAGGGACAAATAGAGGGTGATGGAATATATCAAGGTAGCCTAGGAAGTCTTCCTAGACTAAATGATATTTGAGTTGGAATTTGAAAGGAGTTTTCTGGGCAAAAAAAGGACGCTCCAAGCAACGTGTTCAAAGATACAGCCTAGCGAATGTGGGTGTGCTCGGGGAAAGGTACACACTGCTCAGCTATCATCCTCATTCCTCATTTGTTCACAGACATCATGAGCTGGACCATGATCCTTTGCTAGATAATTCAAATGTTGTTGCTGTTAGAGACAGATTCATTTAATACTAACTGGTAGGTACTACTTCTTGTTGGATGGCTGCTGAGTCTTTCTTGGAAACAAAGCAATGATGTTTTAGAGTTGAACTGTTCTTTTACTTCTATAAACTACTTTTAACTGTGTGTTCTGCTTCTAACATACACCCTGTGACAGAAGAATTACATAAATGGAGAAAAGGCGAACTATCATTTAAGCAAAATAATTTCTCCTTTATACCTTTTTCAAGAAAGTTTAGGCAAGAGATTGTTTACTTAAATTATTCTATTTTTCTATTGAGAAAAAAAATCCCCATTATCCTTTCTACTCACCTTAGTAGATTTCATCTATCTTTGATCCCCTACCTCAAGGTATTTTATACGTGTTTCTACATACAGGTAAAATATGAACATGATTTAATGTGCAAAGCTCTGGCAGAATTACAAGTCAGTCTTTGCCCTCCATCTTCCTTCTCAATTTTTCTATGTACCCCACTACACACATACAGCACACACACACACACAGGTGTCCACTAGTTTTCCCATGGAATGAGTTGAATCTCACTTTGTTCCTAAATAACTCAACCAGAGAGACAGAGGTTGTGAATTTTATTAGAAAGTCAATATATCCTCTCATCCATCACATAGAAACCTTAACTCCCTCTATATCCTCTAAATTCATTTCCTCTGTTTTGCAATTTGGTTTTCAGGCTGGTTTTGTTTTTAATATACTTATCAACTGCTACCATGTTGCAAGCTCTCCAAGTTCTGGAAGTCTCTTAATCCTTGCTAATGTCTGGCTCTGACTTGCCTCACTGACATATTTTCCCTAGTGATGAGATCTCAGTTCTTTATTGTAATGCAAGAGAATAAGCAAGGATTGGCTCCTAAAAAGCATTTGGCTAGCATAATGACAGGATGTTAAAATGACAACTTGAAACAAATTGAAAACCCAACTAATTTTAGACTAATGACACTACTTATTTTATAAAGCAAAGGAACAGAAGGCATTTCCATCATCTCTTGGTAACCAGGTCTGAGAGCATATTCTATCCCTCATTACCAGGAAAGAGGAAAAGCAATCTAAGGATACAAAACAGAAGTGTATTCACAGCTACTGTTATGTGAGCACATGTTCAGATAAACAAGAACACTGACTTATTCACAGCACTTTAGTAAGAAGCACTTAATAAATGCTGCCGTGCCTCACAGCTAACCTCTCTGCCTAAGAGAACACAGGTTGTAAAGAGGGCACAGGCTGGCCTCTTCAGCAGTAGTTTATTGAACCATTCAAGGTGCCACAGAGATGACATTGCAGAGGGCTGGGGACAGGGACCTGGGCCGAGCACAGAGGATACACAGCCAGCTAACCACCAGAGAAGAGGGAAAGGAAACCTCTGCCGCAAGATGACAGGATGGAAGGGCTGTAGGACATTATACAGTTGGCCAAGCTGCGGGAAGGGCGACAGGTAAGTTCTGTTTCCTGTGTGTTTTTAAAGCAGATTAGAGGAACAGAGAGACTGCTGACTTCCTCTTGTATCCGTCTATTGTGAGAGCTCTCTGGAGTCTTGGTGCAAAAGAACTCAGTTCCGGAGAATGAGGACTATCTTCAATGTACTATGAGACTAAAGAAATAGACAGATTTAAAATTACACAAGAGTGGAATTCTTTGGAAAACTTACTGATGATAGCATGATCTTAAATGGGTCAGGATAAAAGCAACTTGCTAGCAGGTATGTACCTGGTTTATCTTAATATCAAAGAATTAGAAACACCTTTGGAGCTACAATCTGATTATAAAGCACCACATACCATTTGAATGGTTTTATCTATTTATAGTTGGCTCAGAAACTGGCTGGAATTACTCAGGAGCAATCATGTAGGTTGCAACTCAAGATGGTTGCAGTCATGTCAAGCTGAATCCATATAGGTCTCTCTCATAAAGGAGCTAGCTAATCCTATCAAGTTGGCTACATAGAATATAGAGTGATTGAATCTATGTTCATTAAGGAAATTGGCCTGTAGTTCTCTTTTTTGATTGGAACCTTTTCTGGTTTTGGTGTCAGCGTAATGCTTGCTTCCAGGAATGAATTTAGGAGTATTGCTTCCCTTTGAATTTCATTAAAGAGTTTGAGGAGTAGTGGCATTAAATCTTCTCTAAATTTCTTGTAGAATTCAGCAGTGAAACCATCAGGACCTGGGGTTTTCTTAGTTGGTAAGTTTTTAATTACATTTTCAATTTCATTGATTGATATTGGGTTGTTTAGAATTTTTAGGTCTTCTTCATTCGACTTTGGCAATTCATACGTATGTAGGAATCTGTCCATTTCTTCTGTGTTTTCCATCTTATTGGTGTATAGGTTCTCAAAGTAGATATTGATGATCCGCTGGATTTCTGCAGGATCTGTTGTGATTTCACCCTTTTCATTCTTCATTGCATGGATTTGATTCTTTTCTCTCCTTTTTTTTGATAATGTTCGCTAAAAGTTTAATTTTATTTAATCTTTCAAAGAACCAACTCTGATTCATTAATTCTTTGTATTGTTTTCTTAGTCTCAATTATATTAATTTCTGCTCTAATCTTTATAATTTCCTTCTTCATATGAGCTTTGGGTTTAACTTGCTCTCCTCTTTGTAGAACCTTGAGGTTCGACACTTGGTTATTTGTTTGAGCTTGCTCTGTTTTTCATGTATGGGAATTCACTGCTATAAATTTTTTTTCATAGGATGCTTTGGTTGCATCCCCTAAGTGCTAGTATATCATATTGGCATTATCATTTAATTGTAGAAACTATCTAATTTCTTCTTTAATTTCATCTGTGATCTACTGATTGTTCAGAAGGATATTATTTAATTTCCATGTTTTTATGTAGTTTTTGTTGTTTCTTTTGCCATCAATTTCCAATTTCATTCACTATCATCTGATAATACACATGGGACAATTTCAATTCCTTTGCATTTACTTTAACATGTTCTGTAAGCTATTATGTGGTCTATTTTGGAGAAAGTCCTGTGTCCTTCTGAGAAGAATATATGTTCTGCTTTTGTTGGGTAGAACATGCTGTAGATATCTACTAAATCCATTTGTTTAAAGGTTTGGTTCAGCTCTGATATTTCTTTCTTGATTTTTTTCTAGTTGAGCTCTCTCTTTGTGACACTGGGATATTGAGGTCCCCTATTACAATTGTGCTAGTGTTTTTCTGATTTTTAATATCCATTAGTGGTTTGGCTTTTTTTCTGTGTTTGTTTGTTTCTGGTACTGAGGATCGAACTCGGGACCTCGTGTTTGTGAGGCAGGCGCTGGAACCACTGAGCTAAATCCCTGGCCCCCATTAGTGTTTTTTATATAGTTGGGTGTGCTGGTATTTGATGTGTATATACTTGCAACTGTTATCTCTTCCTTTTGGATTTTTCCATTAACAAATATATAATGACTGTTGTAATCAGGGTTTGAAAGAGAATAGATTTAACACAGGACACATAATTTATAGGATTATTTGATCCTAGTCACTGAAAAGTCAAGTGGAGAAGAGTGCAGGCGTTCTGTCCACACCCTAAAGACCTGAAGAATCCAGCCAAGGCTCTGGATCCCACGGCAATGTCCCACACAAGTCCAGCTGAAGGCCTAAAGCCCACAGCAATGTATTCCATGAGTCTAGCTGGAGGCCTGGAGCCCATGCAAGTCCATTTCGAGGATGTGTACCAGGAATGCTCATTGGTGAGGGGTGGAAGTTACAAAGTCTGAGCCAGGTTGAAGGACTTTCATCACAAGGCTAAAGGAACCACACTAGAGCCAGAAAGTGATGCTCAAAGTAAAGACCAGAGCTCCTCCAAAGAGAACAACAGCTATCCCTGGTGACAGCAAGGACTTGACCTCCTCTGACAATAAGAACAGCTGAGTTCATATCAGAAAAACCAGCTGCAACAAGCTTTTCTAGGAAAATCAATAGCGGGCAATTTTCCCCTCCTGTTCTCCCTTTATGTCCTTTTGGCAACAATTCTCAGGTGGATCTTCTATACCCAGAACTACACTGACTCAGTTCAGGTGGGCATTCCAAGTTGACCATTAGTTAATCCACCACAGTGACCTTCTTTGTCTCTTCTGGTCAGTCTTGACTTGAAATCCACTTTGTCTTCAAGTAGAATTGTTAGCCCTGCTTTTTTCCACATTTCTGTTGCATGAAGTATTGTTTTTTATTGTTTAATTTTCAGTCCATGAGTTTCTTTTTAAGTTAAATGTGTTTATTTTACGCAGCATATTATTGGATCTTGTTTCTTGATCCATTCTGCCAATTTAATTTTCACTGGTGAATTGAGACCATTCACGTTGATGGTTATAACAGCCATCAACATACTATTTTGATTTCCTTATTTTCTCTTCTATTTAATTGCTTGCCTTGCCTGATAGATTCTATTGGTATTCTTGGAATTGTTTTCTTATTCTAGAATATTCTTCAGAACTTTTTGAAATGGTGGTTTGGTGATCATGAATTTCTTTAGATATTTTTTTAAATCATAGAAGTATCTTATTTCTCCGTCAATTTTAAATCAATCTGGGTTGGAGATTATTTCTTTTAGGGCTTGAAATACTTTACTCCACACCTTCCTTGACATAAGGGTTTGTCTTGAGAAGTCTGTGATTCTGATGGGTTTTCCTTTATAGGTAATTTGTTTCTTTTCTCTAAAGCTTTTTTTTTTTTTTTGGTACTGGGGATCGAACTCAGGACCTTGTGCTTTCGAAGCAGGTGGCAGAACCACTGAGCTAAATCCCTGGCCCACTAAAGCTTTTAATATTCTGTTCTGGAGTTGAATTTCTTGAATCTTGACAATTATATACCTTGGTGAATTTTTTCTGATCATGGCTAATTAAAGCTCTATATGCTGCATATTCTTTTTCCATTCTTGAGAATTTTTCTGCTATTACTTCTGTGAGCAGATTTTTATGTCCTTTGTGCTATCTTCTTTTCATTGATTCCAACTCATCTTATGCTATTCTTCTTTGCATCATCTAGCAGCAGTTGGGTTGATTTTTCATGGTCCCTTGCTATTTATAAGAAGTCTTTCATTTGATGATCACTAATCGCAATTCTGTCTTCTAGATCTAATATTTTATCTTTACATTAGTTGATTCTGATGTGTATACTTTCAATGGTCTTTTTAATCTCCTAGATATCTGTTTAGTCTGTTTTACAGAATCAAGTTCTTTCCTATGTTGGGCATTCATGGTTTCCATCACTTTCCAAAGATTCTCTATTTTTTTATTTGTAGCTATTCTATCTGTCCTTCATTATGGTCATCATATCTCTAATTATCTGTGTAATTATTTCTGTTTTGTTTTTTGCTAAGAACTCATGCATCTGCTTTGTTACTTCTGGTGCTACCATATCAGAAAGTTCAGCTGGGGTGGCTTTTGATTTCTTCCACCTCAATACCCCTTGGATTTGCCTTGGGCAAGCTGGGGGACTGGGATTTTATCTTGTTTCTGTATTTTCTCATTTTCTTCTTTGTTTATTGGCTTTCCATGTTGATACTTGTAAATTTCTTATAAGTAGCTTTATTACTAGTATCAAGCACTCTTTAGGGCTTTTCATAGACTTTTCATAGATGTCTTCTAGGTGTAGTAGGCTTTTGGCTTTTGAGTCTGGCCTGGGATCCTGCCTCTTCTGTTTATTAGGGATGAGAGGTTGCAACGTAGTTGGCCTAGCACCCAGTTCTTTGGTACTGAACTGTAATATTGTTCATGTCCCTCAGACAATCCAGGTATTGGCATACAAGGAAGATCAACTGATCACAGCAACTATGTCATCTTGGCTAAAGTAGTACAGTCAGCATTAGCAATAGCATCAAACAGACTATAAAATGACAAACTGTTGTAATAATTTGTCACCTTTAGCCATATGTACAATATTTATAGTTATATAACAAGATATAAGACAAATCATAAAATTATATACAGTCAATATCCACTCAGTAGAGCAATTTTACCCTAAGGGGAGAAAATTAAAAGAGGAAAGAGGAAAAAGTAGAGAAATAAAAGAAGAAAAAGAGATTAGAAGCAAGGCTGAAGGACAAAAAAAGATTACCCAAGTGTCAGGAAACTGGTGAAGAAAACAGGACAGAAGAAAGAATGAAAAGACAAAAACAGTAAAAAAAAAAAAAAACTACAATGTTCACTCTCACAAAGAAACAAAGGCAAACAATCAGAGGGGGGAAAAGCCAAATGAAAGAAAACAAGCAAATGAATGAACAAACCAAAAGCAAAGAAAAAAAAAAGTTTCTCTCTAATTTCAAGCCTGTGATTGTTTTCTGGGGTCTATAGTTTTGTGGTAGTGTTCAATTCAAGGCATGACTCTGCTCTTGCTAGTAGTCAAAGGACATGGTCAGAACATAGATCCATGCTGGATAATCCTAGCAAGGCTGGAATAGGAGGATTAAGGCATGGTTTTGGTCCTGGGACTTTCAAATCCATGGATGTTCAGGTTGAACTTGATGTCTGGTCATAGGGTTGGGGCTTGAATCATTCTACTTATAACACTGGGTGCCTCTTGCTAGCTTCCCACAACTCCCTGACCATGGATATCTTCTGTGATTGTTCCTCACCCAGTCATTGTGGTAGTTCAACACTGGGAACCCTGAGATGAAGCCAACCTGCTGCTGTTCTGAGTCTTGGGCTCAGTTGATCCCTACCTAAAATGGCATCTGACTGATCACTCTTTCCAGGGGTCCCAGAAGTTGCTTGGACTGGACTCACTCGCCATCTGTTGTAGTAGACAGCATCCACTTCTCTGTTCCACTGATGCATTTCTCCCTGGAGGCCTCTGGAGTTGTCTGCTTTCACTGCATCTCTGTAGACTAGATCTTTCTTTCTCATGCCATGAGCCCAGAGCTAGGGAGAAAGTGTAGGTTGCTCCTTCCTTTACCTGCATTGTGGTCTGTCTCTTCAATCTCTCTGTAGGCTCCTGTTTTCCCTTCATGTCCTTCTTGGTTTCCAGGGATCCACCTCTCTCCTCCTTTCCTTCCTCAAGTTGTTATTTTCTAAAGCCTATATTCCAAATCTTGGAGAGGCTGATTTTTTGCTGCTTATCACTCTGCCATCTTCCCCATATTCTTATATAAAGATAAATCTACAGAGTGGCAATAAAAGGGATATAAAAAGAATGATAATGTGTTATGTACCAGCTCCTTAAAATGAATATAATCATTATGTACTGCAAA